GGAAAGTCCTTGACTGTCCTGGCAGCAGTAACATCTGGGTTACCTTCTTCACAGAGAAACCACCTCCCTTTGCAGCTGGCTCCAGTAAGGGCAGAGGACACCATGCACAACATCAAACCTACGGCAACACTCTTCTCCAGGTACACGCCCAAAGCCCTTCCTTGTCTTTAAAACTCTTTTTTTAAAATATAGGACTTATTTCTTAGTAAATGTTTAGCTACATAAATTGCATTTTCACACGGAAAGCTTCAAGCTTTCCACCTTTTATCTCAATCACTTCTTTCAGAAGAAATCCACTACCAGAGATGGTGTGGCTTTTGTCTGGTGGGTTTTTGATAGCAGGGGAAGGGCTACAGTGACAGTTCCTGTAAGTAACTGATAGAAATTCCTCAGGTCCAAGTTGGTTTTGGTAGCAGGCGAGAGGCATGCTACCGAGACTGCTCCTGTGAGAAGCTGCTGGAAATTTCCCAGCTCCAGGCTGGACACGCCCTTGGCCACGGCCGAGCCCGTCAGCACCTCTGAGAATGACAGGTTGAGGAGGGGGCACAGCGCAGGGTCTCTGTAAGCATAGTTAATAAAGAGTCAAAAGGCTCGTTCAAGAGTAGAGGCTCTAATGAGAACCTTTAATTTTGTCATTAAGACATTTAATCTCTTTGCACTCATACCAGAGAATGATCTGCTTTGCACATACTTACAATTACCCTTTTTCTTCTCAGTGGTAGTGAAATTAAGGTAGTCAATTCTCATCCTCAGTGCCAAGCTTCATACTACGAGAAAACAGAGCCTGAGATAAACTGAGAGACGTTCTGCCAAAGAGAAAATCAACCCAGCTAAGCAGCCCCAAACACCATTTCAAGTGGCAGTCCTGTTCACCCTGTGCCCGACTTTTCGGTTGCCCCTGTCCGTCCAGTTTGATGATGCTAACCCATAGTGCCCTTTTGATTCGGACTTGAGAACCTATAGCACAAGGCAAAACAGTCAAGAAGGAACACAGCAGTATGGGTGAGCACATACAGAAAGATGTTTTATTTGAAGGTGACAAAGGGTTGATATGGGATACAGATTAATATTCCTGTTGTATCTTAAGAAATCTGTGGCTTGTGACTTACCTACTGGAAGCCAAAGTTTGTAAAATTGAAGAATTTCAACTGCTCCCAGGTCAAATCACACAAGTTCACAGCTCCACACACACTGATCAACAGTGAACCTTCTCCTAGAACAGTACTCTGATCTCATCAGAAACCAAAATCTGATCATTCAGCAGCTCTGCCCAAGGGTATCCCCCAACACATAAACTGAGCTGAGCCCACCTCCTAAAAGTCTGGTTTTAAGTTCCTGTTTTATATCATCCTGCTTATATGGGTATGACAACCCCAAAGTTACAACATCCACAGCCAGCCAGCCTACCATAAATCACGCGATATCAGGGAAAAAAAAATAAACTAAAATAATCACCACTTGCTTCTGTATCTAGCCCGGTCCTGCAGTTCAGCCATTGCTAGTGACAGCTTTGCACCACGTCTACACAGCCTCAGGACTGAGGTTTGTCAGGTGCTCTTTCTGAATGTTCTACTTGGCTGTGTAATTCAGCATTGCCTCTAACTGACCAGGTGTCTATTGTATAATTATTTTATTTTTGTTACCTTTGTATGGTACAACCACAGCTTCATATAGACAGCAGTAACAAACAGTTATTCTGTGCCAAATGAGATATTTATAACTAATATAAATCTTTCAGGGGAGAAGTTCTATGATGGTAAAAATAGAGAGGTTGAAGTGCATGGGAAAGTAGACTTCGGGCTTAATTTTCCTTCTCTAAAGCTGAAGAATATCTGACAGTTAACAACATATTAGGCAAGTACACAACTCTGAGATGAGAGATTTGCTTATAATATTCTTATCTGCTTTCCCCAACGAGCTGGATAAACCAGGTGTGAATATTATTTTTTTTAAAGCAGTGAATATGAAAATGTAAAAAACCCACCAAAACTGTACTTTTGATAGAAATTATTCAGTTTCCTGACATGGAGCTTTTTTATTAAAAAATGGTAAAAAAGTTGAAAAGGGGATTTGCAACTGAACTGATAAGCATAGTTTCACTATGTGTTTCAGGTTTAAAGAATATTTAACCCTAAAACAAAAGTGAGTTTGGTAAGAGATACTGCCTTCACTGATTTACTGATGTAATATTAAAATCCACATATAATGGAATAGGTTGCCTTATTCTACAAAAATGCCCAAATAAACACAGGATCCAATTCTCTCCCTTTTCCTAAGGTTGTATCATCATTAGAAGTCCTTACAGGTCCAAAAAAAATTCCCACACCAAAAAAATTTGACTGATCACTTAAATCACGAGTCCCAGAATATATCTACAGATTTATATACCAGTATTCATAGAAAATGTTCTAACAGCAATTTAGCAGTCACTACAGTAAAGCCATTAGGAAGAAAACACTGTTTACATGATCAGCATCCTGCTGCTTTACATTAACATAGAGTGCTGGCATAGGTTATCTTCTTCAAAGGAGACTCCATATATTTCAGTTTCTCAAAGAAAGTCCACCTTCTCATAGGTCTTTTCAATGAGGGTTAACAAGTTCTTCAAGTCAGCTGACTGCTGAATAGTATTCATATCCTTTAAAAGACCTTTCTGATTTTTTATCTTCATAATTTCTTCCTAAAGAAGGAAAGAAAGCATAACAAACAACAATTAAAAAACATGTTTCATTGAGTCCACCAGAAATCTCACTTTCATGCAGCCTAGCTGTACCTAAATAACACCAAAAATTAAAAAATATTCAAAGGCACAGAATGAGACAGTCTTCCTTCCATTAATTACAGAGAGATATACTTCAGAAAGGATTACACATTCCCTAGGACCATAGAGTTCCTAGGAAAAGAAAGGTGATCCTTTAAATCGCAAGGTTTCTAGGGTTTTGTCCTGTTTTTAACATGCAAGCATATAGTTCTCAATGGAAATAATTTTTTAAAAAAAATTTTAAAAGATAAATCTTTCAGATATTTCAAAATTGCCTTTTCTGGCAGAGGCTAAGTGATAAAAGCACATTCGGTTGCCTTCCTTCTCACAGCCAAGGGGTCTCTGAATATATTCCATGCTCTACCTGCAAAGTGGGTGCCTGTAAACTGTGCTTGGGGAGTTCTGGAAGATGGAGTGCTCCACTGCTATTTTCCTGGAATACCTACAAGAAAAAAAGAAAAAAAAAAAAAGAAATAAAGAGAAAAAAATCCAAAACCAAACATCGGGCACACAAGTAGGAAAATAAACTGGCTATCATCATCCAGCTTCTGAAAACTAAACTTCTTAAGTTTGGAACTGAAGATGGAAAGATTTGCCAAAGGCAAATATTGCCTTCCTTATATGATATGCTCTGCAGAAACAGCCCAGATGTGCTAGCTTTGAAACACCTTCTCCTTAGAGGAATGCACCAAAATCTATTGCAAATACCTTCCTGGCCTTTTTTTCATCTTCCTCTAACTGGTTCTTGAGCACCTGGATTTTGTACTGCAGTTGCTGTATACTTTCTTCAATGTGTTCTGCTGATCGCTCAGTTTCTATTATTTCTTCCTAAGACAAAATAGACACAAAAACCAGAACAAAATTTACTTCAGAGATGGTGAATCTTTTGCGTATAAGATACTGATAATCAGCACCAGTTGAGTCCCTGAAAAAACATCCAAAAAGATACACTGTTTTGTAGGAAAGGCCGGTGACAATGATGAACATTGGACAACCTCTCCACAACAGCACAGGCATAGCCAGCGGTCCGTCTACTAAAAAGTTACAACACACTGAGGAGCAGCAGCAGATGGGTAAGATATTTTCATCCCTTCCTTGCCTTTCATACCTGCAATTGTGTCAAAGACTCTTCATTTGTCTCAAGCATTTGTTTCTCTGCCATCAGAAGGTTTGCGACATTCTTCAGGTTGCCCAGATTCCCCGCAGGCACCTTTAAAGTCTTGAAAGATCTCAGCACCCTTTATTATAGAAAGAGGAAAGCATGACTTGTTTGGACTTCTTTGCAAAACAAAAAGAAAGCTGACTAATGACTTCTCTGGGGAAAAGCTAAACTCAATTTAGCCCAATTGCTGCCAGTGAAGTAAAAGGATCCAGACAAGAAGAGAAGCTGTCTTAAATTGTTTTCCAAAAATCACATGGAATAGACAACTAAGGAAGAAACCAGGAAGAAGAAAACCCACCATTCTAACATTCGCTATTACACTGGTGTTGTGTGGTTTCTATCCCATTGCCCTGTATACTCCCTGACTGTAATTTGACATTAGCTAGTATTTTCCCAGTTCTGATCCTTCTGCTTTTCAAAGTAAAACTAAGTTCTAAAACCAGAATTTTTAACTGCTTCCACACAAAATCATATTAGTTAAATCTGTAAATGCTTTTGTGAAATACGATATATAGTTTTCTGCCAGAGAAAGAGTTTTAGCTTGCTCAAAGGTCCTTCTCATTCTGAGGAAGACTTAAATTCTTCCAGCTTGGATCTGGCTGTTAGATACACCAAACTGCCACAATTTCTATGCATCTCAGATGAGATTACAGGAGTTTGGCAACTCAGAAATCAGACCCAACATGTCAAACTAAACATTAAAAAAAAGAAGAAAACTATTTATGAAAAACTGGCTCCTCATGTTTGAATCCTGACGTACTGTAAGAACAAAGCAACATATAGGCTCAGACTCTAAGTTGATAAAAGCCTGTTGTAGCAGAACACATGCACACAAAAATTCTCAGACACTCAAGCATACATAATTACACCCACAGTAACATAAAAAGGCTACGAGTTACGCCCCAAGACAAAATTTCAACTCTTTGAAGTAATTTCAACAGTCAGAAAATGAATTAGCATTTAAGAAAATTTAGCTATAACTGCCCCTGCCACTATCATAAAATGATAAGAAAATAAATAGCTGCCCACAAATTTAAACCATGTATACAGAACACAAAGCTGACTCAAGGAGCTCTTAAGAATACCTCCTGGGTTCTGTTACTCGTATAGAAGTAGTTAAAGTGGGTCTTTTAACAACTCTTGCTTGTTCACTTCAATCAAGCTACCATCAAGATATTTCCCTCCTTGATTTTGCATCAATTCTCCCTTCCAAGATTTCCTAAATGTGATTGCTCCCAGGAGCAATTCTGTAAGTGTACAAAACAACTGGGTAAACTACATTCCTTTCCCTTCCTCCTTTTTTTTTTTTTTTTTAAATTATAATTTCTTACCTTTCTTTCAGTAAATTTAGGTGTTTCTGGACATCATCTTCTCTCTCACTTTGCTGGCATAAAACAGATCTGGAAAGAAAAATAAAGCCAGAACTTTCATCACAAAGCTTGCAAGCACAGAGAGCATATCAAGTGAAGTAAACATTGGGAGAACTTCCCTAGTCGAAAATTTCCAAATTCAGATAGAAAATGTTATATTATACTGGACAAAATATACACAGCCAGTTATACTGCTCAAAAATACCCCAAAGCTTTTCCAGTTCAGGCAAGGTTATGATTTTTACATTATTTCTTGTGGAAACAGAGAAGAATCACCAAGATTTTTGGCACTTACAGTATTGCTGAATCCATTACAGTTTTCAGAAGCTGCCTGCTGCTCTCTGAGAGGGTCTGCCAAGATCCTATTTTAGCACTCGTTAGTTTCACCTTTTTTGAAGAATCTTTTTCTCCTGTTAACATAAAGAGAAAAAGAAAAAGATATGATTTGTCAAACCTGGATAAAGAGGGGGAATATACATAAGCGAGAAACTCAACGCAGCAGGGGCCTCTTCTCATTTGTATGTTCAATACACCACATGTCACTCTTAAGACAGATGGTAACAGAGAAGATAATGACCTCTGAAGGGAAAATTTAAATGTTATGGGTGCTTGTGGTGGAATTTTACACAAGAACACTACTTGCAAACAAAAGTATATGCTTACTATGTGCATAAACAACACATATGATAGGAAAGCACACTGGCTAAGACTGTACTGCAAATACTCACTGTTACTGTTCAGAAAAAAAACTGTGAAACTTGTTTCAGTGACATCTCAGATATCTATGATTTCAACATAGCAGTTACTGTTTTTCCTTTCAGTGTTTTTTTTTTTTTTACAAAACACTGAATTTGCACAAGACAAACATAAAGAAAGAATACAATCCTACCTGCAGGGGAACAGTCCTCATATTCCTTAGCTTTCCTTTTGACTGCTTGAGTGACCTGCTGAAGAGAAAAATTTACAGCAATGTGGTAATTTTGAGACATGCTCTGCTGTGCAACCACTCATCTACTAGTAGCAACCCACCATAAAAACAATAAAACAATAATTCATCTCAAGAAGGTTAAGGAAAGCAATTCACTCTTCTTAATTCCACCCATTCCAAGAATGAGGTCGTGAAATAAGAAATACACATGATGTCTGGCTATCCAGCCACATCTTGAGATCATGTTGTTTATACGTTCAGTGGTTAAGCAAGCTCTCTTCCAACAGAAAGCTGCCTAGGCCAATCCTGAGACATACAAAGAATATTTTCCAGAAATAAATGTGACTTGGCCTGAACAAACACTGACTTTATCACTCTGTTCAAACAGATGCAGCTTTCAAAGCCGCACAACCAGACTGCCTTTTTTATTAATCATCAGGCAACGCTTCCCTCTACTTGTCACTAGGCAACTAGAAATTCAGGAAAACAGGGAGCAGTTACGGCAGTGGGTCTCAAAGGAGCTGTTCACACTGGACATTTCCTCAAAAAGGCTATGTTTAGTTAATGAAATATTCTCTACAAATCCCAGTAAAATCTGGGCAAAAATACCTCTTTCTTTTCTTTGGTTACTTTTCTAATTTGTTTGATGCAAAATAATAATTACCTTTCTTTTTTGACTTTGTATTCTTCCCTCTCCATCTGTTCTTTTTTTTTTGCTAGAAGGCACTTGTTGATCTTGCAATTTTAATTTTCTTTTTGATGATTTCCCACCAGTGGTGTCCCCCATTTTACTGGAAGATGCGTGGCGGTGTTTCATTATCTGTAAACCAAACGCAACATGAGGAAAGAAAAGCAAACCTAAAACCCAGCAATTATAATCCATACAGTCCAGACCACACATTAACAAGCAAAACGAGGGAAATACTCCATGCTAAATGAGCCCAAATGTTTGCACATTTGCAAAATCAAGGCCTAAATCTTGCATATTTATCTAAGCACTACGTTTCCTGTGAAGGTGGTGAGGCAGTGGCCCAGGTTGCCCAGAGAAGCTGTGGATGCCCCATCCCTGGAGGGGTTCAAGGCCAGGCTGGATGAGGCTTTGGGCAACCTGGGCTGGTGGGAGGTGTCCCTGCCCATGGCAGGGGGTTGGAACTGGATGATCTCTAAGGTCCTTTCCAACCCAAATCATTCTGCGGTTCTACGAAAAGCATCCCCATTTGCCTTTTAGACAAGTCTGTGTGTGTTCCACATCTCTTTCAAAATTTAAAAGACAGCACGTCTGTACAACAAAGAGCAGCAATGGCAATGCAACGGTAACTGAACAGTCTGATTTGTTCACAAAGGCCTCCAGCACCAGAAATTCTTTATCTTTCTAACACAGTCCAACGCAGACATCCTGTTACCAGAACTTTTTACCGTAGTACCTAATCACAATGCTCCGTGCTGCAGTTTAAACCTGTGGTTTCCTGCCTTACTCACTACAGAGATGGAGGCAAACAATTCACACAGAAGGTTAACAACCATGCCACCCCCCTGGCCGCCTCTTTTCCAAGCAGGACGACTCAGATTCACTCAGTTTTCCTTCCATCCCCTCAGGCCGCCTCTTCCCTCTCGTGGAGGGGCTCGCCAAGGGACAGTCGCAGCGGTCACCGGGTAAATAACCCTCCCCGTCCCGCCCTCTCCAGTAACTGCTCATTTCGCAGGACACCCGTTGCCGCACCCCTCTGAGGGGGATG